ATGGCAAGTTAAATGAATCAGTCTTTCGATTTTGAGTATTATATTTTTTAAGAAAATTTTTTCCACCATTTTTTGTGGGAAAATCGAGAGATTTGAATTTTCTCGATTTCTTATTTTGTAAGAGACAGAGGTTTTTAAATATTTGAATGATTATATCAGTAATTTGTTACAATGATGGAATAATTTTAGTTAATAACAATTTTTTACTGTTTTTTTCTAGCTATAAGACAGTTAAAAATTCGGACAATGAATTTTTCAGATGAGATAAAAATAATAGTATTATTCATTCAAGCGTTTTTATGATCTTCAAATGACAAATCTATTGAGCTCGATAATTGAAGTATTTTGCATTTGAAAGACATCTATTTTCGTCTGGAGTATGAACACATGATTAAATGAAATACTAACGATCTTTTAATTATCATACCAATTGGCTACATTGAATAAATTTTGTCCAGTTCAACAGAAAAATAAACAACTAAACACTCAACGAGATAAAAACATCATAAAAAAAGGAATCAATCTTTTCTAAATAAATCAATAAAAGAGATTGCATTCAAATAATTATTAATTTCTCAATTTTTGTCTGCCACTCACACATACAAATCTGTCTCCATGATTTTTAATTTTTTTAATTAAAAAAATGACTTATTGTTTTTCCAGAAAAAAAAGTTTGTTCACAATTTTTTATGTCAGGGTATCTCAATTCGTTATAAATCCCGTTTGATTAATATTTATTTATATCTTTTGAAAAATCGATTGTTCAATGATTCCTGAAAATGTTGTTATTGGAATTGATTTAAAAGTTAAAAATTTAGTGTCAGATAGACCGTTTATTATAAGTGACAAAATGTCTGTAATTTAATTTATATTTATTTAGTTTTATTAGCTATTATTTTATTGTCCGGCTTGTTTTACATAGTCATCTATGATTTATATTTAATATAAGGGAATATATGCATTTATTCAATCATTTTAATTTATATTGTCACCAAGGCAAAATAAATATTGTAACATTTTTCATAAATATCACATTTTCCATATGGTCCATAGGGTCCATTATATGCCATTCATATGACTCTAAAAAACCATGCAAATACCCAAAATTATTGCAATAATTTCTTTGCATTTTTAATTTCGTGAAAATCAATTGTTTTCTTTTAAATTTATAAACTTATAAAGATAAATTTTCGTATCGCGCATGCAAATTCATGATTGAATTAAATCCACTATCATCGAACCTCAATTTCATTCGATTACTAAATATACAATTTTGCAAGAATCCATTTCTCCAGAATTTTCGGTAGGAAAATCGAATTGAGAATGGCTATCGAAAATTCAATACTTTTTTCTAAAAAAAATTAGATATTTAAAATGAAACCACATGTTTCTTCAATTTGAAAAATGCATCTGAATGACTAAAATAAAAAAGAATTTTGAACACTGACTTTACAGTAGATTGGCAAAAAAATTTTTGTTGCCAAGTAGATATATTTATTTTTATCAGCAAATCAGTACAAATACTTCTATGAGACATGCCAATTATATGCCGAATATTATCTTGGGGTATACTCTTGGGGTGAAGATATATTTTTTCTCAATTTACAACAGCTTTTAGATATAAACGAGACTTACTGCGCATTCCGTGCGCCGAATTTGAATTTGGCGGTTCGAGTTGACCAATGAGGAATTAGTCAAACGTGTTTCGAGATATTTCGACTCGGGCGAACTTCATTTTT